CCCAAGATTTTTTATATTTTAGCACGTAAATATTTAATTTAGGCCTAATATAGCTATTTCAACTCATTTTGACTCTTTTACTTTATTTTATTACAAGAAAAATGAAAATTACAAAAAATATATTTTAGTTTATGTATTTTTCGTAAATTTTAAAAATGCAAAAATAGTACCTTATTTTTATCTTTATATAATTTCGAAAACACAAAAATAGTTTCATGTTTAGTTTAATTAATTAGTGTTAGTTTTGTATTGTGTAGTATTTTTATCTTATTTTAAAGGGAGTCAATCAAGGTGTTGGATCACAATTTTAAGAGTTTTAGAGCCCAATTCTTGGCCCAATTCGGATTAGTCCATTAAGCCTAGGAACCCTTCCAGACTCTTCTTTTTGGAACAAAAACAAATAAAAAGACCCTAAGGACTTAACAAAAAAAACCTAAGGACTAATTGGCAAAATACACAAAAATACACCTAAACCTAGACTCCACCTATAAAATAATGCTTAAAAAATAAAAAGGGACCCTAAAAAAAAAAGAGGAGATCGGCCGCTTCAATCAAAATCCCACCCCCTGTGACTTCATCCTCTTCGCTCCAACCCAAACGACCCTCTGTTCAAACGCTAGGATCGCTGGAGCTCATCAGCCGCAGAGAACAACAGAAGAGACCCCTCATCGGCTGACCTTCACCTTCTTCCCCCATCAAGACCAAACCGATAGACCCCTGCTTCTTCATTTTCGATTCCAATTTCAACAGGGAACAACCAATTCAAACAGCCGCGAAAATACACACCCTGAGAGCTTCATCTTGACCAAAAGGAAAGGCAAAACCAGCTGCGAAATAGGTCGAAAACAGCTTCAAAATCAGTCCAAAGTCAGCTCCGAAACAACCGTCAAAGTGAGGAGATATTCGAGTTCGTCGATTCGAGGTTCCGGGCAAATTTTCAGTAGCATTCCTCATTTTTCTTCGATGTTCCGGAGAAAAGTTTGTATTTGCCGAAGATTTTCTTAAACTATACCAAATAAACTTCACAGAAGGTCCGTCTCTTTATCTGCAATTTTATTTTTGTTCTTATAATGCTTGTCGTGTTGTGCGTTTGTTCTATGTCACCACGTTTTTGCTCTTTTTATCCTGATTGATTAGTCAATTTTCTTGAAATATTTGTTTGCCTTGTCTCGGGTCTGTGACGGTGATTTGGAGGAATTAGCTTCCATTTTTATTTGGCTTTGGTTTGTAAAATAACGTGCTTGGAAGATAGCTATGAAAGTATAAAGAGTTTTGGTCCTCTGCTGATTTAAAGTTTAGGAAAGAAAATTAATTCAAGCCTAAGATTGTTATAAATGCATTCCAGAATATCATACAGACACCATTTGTTGGTGAGACATTCCATGCTACTAGATAAATGGTTTACATGGAGTTGATTTATTTTGAAGCTAATTATATTGGTCTTGTCTTTCTCACCTTCAAATTTGTTTCTAGAAGTGTTCTTTCATGCTCTATTAATTTAATTTGGTTGTGGACTATATGTACTGTGATGTCTGTTATTAATTATATACTAGCATGAAATTGGTTTGTTCTTCCAATTATATAGTTTGTTTAAGGGACATTCAGTATCTGAGGAATGAATTTGTTGAAAGTAAGTGGTCGCTCCTACTGATTTGTGGTACGCTCTGAATTTTTTTTAGTAAAAGAGCAAATTGAGCGTATTTTTCCCCAACAAGATCATTCCATATGTTCCAACAAATAAATTCATGAATCTCCTAGTTTGCCCTAGGCGCGCTGTTAATAAATAAATCGTGACTACGGGTACGGGTTCCGTAGCGTAGTTGTGATACCTAATTAGTTTTAAAGGTGAATATCTGTAGTTCTTTTAATTGAATGCATTTCCTTTGAAAGAAATTGAGGCGTGCCATGCCAAATAAAACCCCTAAGCCCATGGCCCTCATTTAATTAATTGTAACTCTTAGACTTCGGGACGGGCCGTTTAGCGAATTCCACGGCTTTCCCCAAAGATAATAACACGCTAGCTACTTTAGGCGCGTATTTTAAATAATTTTACCTTCCTAAATACGGGTGCACATTTATGTGACCTAAATCCAAATCCAAACGAAGTCGAAATGTGTCAAAAATCGCGGGTGCATTTATGTGACGCGGTTCGAGACGTATTTTCACGACGTTGCAATTCTCTTAAAATAATGATAATAAAAGCGGTTCAAAGTTAAAGGCACATAGATTAAAACATGTACTAAAATCAAACAAATAAGCCAAATATGACAGTTGAGCGACTGTGCTAGATCCACGGAACCCGGGAATGCCTAACACCTTCTCCCCGGTTAACAGAATTCCTTACTCGAATTTCTGGTTCGCGGACTGTTATACAGAGTCATAATTTCCTCGATTCGGGATTCAAACCGGTGACTTGAGACACCATAAATCTCCCAAGTGGCGACTCTGAATCTCTTAATAAATGAATCTCGTTTCGATTGTCCTTTAATTGGAAAAACTCCTTTATTATACCCTTCCCCGGGGTGTAGTAAGTAAAAAAGGAGGTGTGACATCAGTTACTACAAGATTCTCTACTTTGAAATACTTAAAATACCCTTGAACTATTTTTGAAATCACTAACCTATATCACACTAACCTTGGCCCTATTACCTTGGTCAAGACTGACTATGGTTAAACAAAACACATGCTGGATTAAACTGCTATATCCAAACAATTCCAATTATACTAAAAGAAGACCTAAAATTGAACTAAGAGTCTAATTATCCTATTTTAAGTATCAAAATCGAAACCAACTATAAAATTGAACCTGAACAACCAGAATTAGTTCTAATATCAATCAAGCCAAAGTTAAGAATCAAACAAAATAAAAAAAAAACAAAAAGCAGAATCATGTAAAACAATGAAATGAACATAGAATTATGCGACCACAATCAAACAAACAATCAAGCCAACAATAAGAACAAAATTAAACTACAAGACTGTAATGTAAAAATCAGAACCCTAAATCAAGCACAAAAGTAAGTAAAATGATGAAGGTAAGCATTCCGGGACATGACAAGAGAAGGAGACGAGTATGAACAAAAGAAAAATGAATAGAAAAGAAAAGAACAAAAAACGAGAAACAGAGAAAAATACCTAATGAGATTGAACCTGGAATGACTTTGCATAGACTGATGGACCTCAAAATGAGTCAAAATCCATGCCAATCTCTCATTTTTACATAGAATAGTCGATTAGCATGGGTTTTGACCCATTACCGGCCCAGGAAAAGATTTTGACTCAGATTCCGTCATTGACCCGATTTCGATTGGAAATTCAAAGAGCTCCAGGGGTGTTTGAAGGAGGATGAGTAAGGATTTGGGAATATGGAGGTGAGGAGAGTCTGGGGTGTGATTTTGGGGAGGTTTGGGAGGCGGCGCCGCCGTACACGGCGGAGGCGGCGCTAGGGTTTCTCTTATTCGAAGGATTCGAGGGGGATTTGAGGGAAACTAGGCTTGGATTCGTAATGAGGAGGATGAGGGGAAGCAGGGGTGTATTTTTGGTGGCCATTGGATGATCGCCGCCGGCGGAGACGATTTCCGGCCGGCGGCGACGGCGGAGGGTGGCGGTGAGGCGGAGGTACGAGGAAGGGGATCTTTGGTCTCTAGGGTTTCAAATATTTCAGACAGTTTTATTTAATTGTCACGATTGAACCATAACCGTTGGATTAGAGTGTATGGACGGCTCAGATTTATCGACGCCAAACAACGTCATTTAGAAATAAAGGGGGGCAGGCCGGGTCTGGGGTTGTTGGGCTAGGCAATTGGTCCGATTTGGTTGGGTTTCAAGGGTATTGGGCTAGGATTTTCGTAAAAATGGCCCAAACATGGCCAGCCTTCTCATTTAGCCCCCTTTTTTTTGTGTATTTTACTTACATATATGTTATTTATTATTATTTTTTTTTGAATTTTCTGATTTTATTTTGTAAAATAAAAGACCCAAATTAATTAACTAATTAACTAAGAGAAAACTAAATCAAAAATGTAAAAATGCAAAGTTTAAGATTGTAAAAAGACTATTTTGTTATTTTTCTTTTATTTCCAATGATGTTTAATTAATATAAAAATCTAGAATTAGGTCCTAAATGCAAGTATGCTATTTTTTGTAATTCTCATTTTTTATGACACCTAAAAATGCACACAAAATGCAAACAAAACACAAAATCATGCAATTAATTCCTAAAAATTCAAATACTAAAAGAAAAATTCTAATTCAAATGAATTCTATAGGAGTAATTTAAGCGTGGCAAAAATCACGTGCTCACAAACCCGAAATCATAACTATCAAAAGTTATTGCTGTGTATGAAACTTTGAAGATTTGACTTCAATTTTGACTGGTTGTAGAAGAAAAAACCTTGATTTTGGACGTTAATGGTAGAGGGTTTCAATTGTTTTTCTGGATTTAGCAGAGGATTTCAATTGTTTTTCTGGTTTCTGGGTGTGTGGTGATACGTGGGTGAGGGTGTGGGGTTGGGAGAGAGAAACGTGGGGGGATGGGGATTTGGAGGAATGTACGGTACCATAAATTTAGGAGTGATATAAGGTACAATAATGTACAGTTAAAACACCTTATGGTATAGAATTGGTAATTAGGTATACTAAATGTAATTATATCAAACCTTAAACATTGTGGGTAATATAGTTTCTTATATGACATAGGAATATAAAAATACCTATCGGCGTGAACTATGAAGTAAGGCACCTTCATATTTGACAAGATCCAACTCTGAGACTACCGGTTCGAGTCATCAAGAGACGGTAGTTTAAGCCCAAAAAGAAGACCAATCTCACTGTGCAATAAAACTATGATAAGTTATATTCGTGATGTTTCAAAAAAATTGATATTGTTTCCTTATTAGTCGGTTTTAAAAAGATTGTCACCTTTCCATATTTTCTTAATAAGAACTATTTACAGCCACATAAATGCTATGGCAAATTTCAAACCACATATTTCAAAAATCTTTCATTCTTTATTAAAGTTTGTACCAAATCAAACTAAGAATATCTTTTTGAAACAGAGGGAGTAGTACTACTAGTATATGAAATGGAGTTGACCCTCTTTTGCTTATTTGATGTAAACATGAAATAACATGAGGAAAAAAAAAAACAAAGATAACATATAAACACCATAAGATTAGTTTCAAAATGAAAAACAAGGATTCTAACTCTCTCTATATTGAGATTCCAAAACATAAGTTTAATTCCTTAGTGCTGAATAAGGGTCATGTTGGCCAGTGTTTTCAGATTGACAGGTCGAATTCGAGAATGGCTTCCACTCCATAATGCCTTTGAGATGAGTTTATAAGTATGCTCTGATGGATGAAAGTAATCCCAAAACAAGTATTCATTGGGCTTTACACATAACTTGTAACCTTCTTTACCACATTGCAGTAATCCTCCTAGTGTTCCATCGCCACAACATGCATTTGTCACATCAGAAAACCCTGTGTTACAACAGATCATTTATGTGAATTAGCTTTCGAGGTTGAGCATACTCAACTTTACTATATGATTCACGAATGAATGCTGATAGGGGCGAAGTTATGTGTGGCTAAGGATGGTCAATTGAACATCTTTTGCCGAAAAATTAGACTGTGTACGACAAAGGCGGATCCAGAATTTAAAGTTTATGGGTTCCTGTCGCAATCTCAAATTAATATACCATAATAACTGGGTTCACCGTTAGATACTTATAGATATTTAGTAAATTTTTTAATAAAAATAAAGGATCTACGCAAAAGTTATTGGGTTCCGGGAACCCATACACTATACTGTAGATACGCCCCTGACTGTGTATAGGGTAAAATATTACTGCATCCTTTTCAATTTAGATGAGGTAGTTTGACTTGACACAGAGTTAAGAAAAAAAAGCTTTTGAAACTTGTGGTCTTAAAAGCTTTGTGGGGCTATGACATTTGTGTGGTTATAAAAGCTTCTCATTAAGGGTATAAAAACCAAACGACTTTCTCAAACTAATACTGCAGATCGACATTGGGGGTTGCTGTGACGCTTCCTGTTTTAAAGTTGAGTTATTTTCAATGGCAGAAATGTGTCACTCTTTTTGGAATGGACTAATAAGAAAAATATGTCATTTAAATTAAAATAGAGGGAGTACTTATTATTGATTAAAAAAAATAGACTTTGAACAACCTTGTATAGCCTACTAGCAAAGGGTGTTAAAATTTCGACACTCTTATTGAAGTTTTTGGCTTCGCCACTGAATGCTGAGCTAGGCCATGAGTGGTCGCATGGTCGAATTTGACCTTTAGGGGTTTTTTTTTGGTTTTTTCTTTCCTTTTCTGAAGTCTAATATGAGATGTATAACATGCTCATACTCATTAAATATGATGTCTTTTATTTAACCTGATAGTGTAAAATTCTCTTTTAGTAGTACTGAAAGATTCACTAATTCTATTATAATTAAAGAAATACTAATGCTAATAGAGGAGTAAAGAAGTGTAAGAAATTACCATAACGTTTAGGATTAGCTCTGAAAATCTGAACAGTGTTGTACACAGCTCCATAAACAGCAAAAGAACCAGGATACTTGATTGGTATAGTCCTTCCCAAATTCTCTAATCCCATATTATAATTCTTGACCATTTTATTCATCTTTCCATAACATTTGTTAACTGGTGCACCAGGCAAAAGGGTCCTGGCTGGTACACAACCAACAGGGCCTAACGAAAATAAACCGATTCGACGAGCCCCGAGTTTGGAAATTTGATCAATAAAATTTGTAACTTCAGATAACATGGATTGAACGTATGCATCTGGGGTTAGAGTTGGACCACCAAATGGATAGAAGTAGCTGAAAATGTCGTTAGAGCCTGACTCGAAGAAGAAGAGTGATTCTTGGATTAGTTTCTTGTTTATAAGGTTTTGCTGGACTAAGGTCTTGAATTGTTGAAGTTGATCTTGAATTGGGGTCACTCCCTATATTATGTTTCAAAAGTCAAGAAAATTAGTTCATGGGCAAAAAGTAGCAGAGCCAAGGTTAAGATGACAAGCATTTGAAAAAAGATTTTAAGTTACACGCACTAGCAATAAAGGGCAGGCCGGTACATTAAGCTCCTGCTATGCACGGGTTCTGGAGAAGGACCGGACCACAAGGGTCTATTGTACACAGCCTTACCCTACATTTCTGCAAGAGGCTGTTTCCACGGCTTGAACTCATGACCTCTCCTGGTCACATGGCAACAACTTTACCAGCAACTTGAACCCATTACACGCACTAGCAATGTAAAACTATTTACACAATAATTATACTAATAGTGTAATTACATAATTTAAGCTCTCAAGTAAATAACTAAAAAATATTGACGGGCATTACTGCAATTACTTTCTTTCTTCCCTAAATTTTTCCTCTTTTCTTGTATGCCTAAGACATTTTACACCGATCTGGATTTGTTTTCTACCGTGGGAAGTTTGAATAATGACTTGGTTAGATTTACAAACATCATTTGTTTTTAGTGAAGCATTTGACCACTTTCAAGTACGTACAGAATAACAGATAACGTCAAAAATACATTAATTGTGATAATTGAGTTGAATTTAGTAAGATTTGGTGTAAAAGAGATATTTATTCATCTTATAACAAGATACAATTTACTTTTAAGGTGTCTTAGATGCAAGTTTAGACATCAAAATTTTAACGGATCAAGCAAAATTCTAAATTTAAAATTACAATGGAACTCTTGCCATTCTAGAAGTCTATTAGGGTCTACTCTACAAAAACCCTAACTTGGAGGCTACTCTATCATAACCCTAAGTTGCTCCTACAAAAAGGGTTACATATTCCATTTGAAAGCATCTCGCAAATTGAGGTCATCTCAGAAAATCCCATAAATTAATTCTCGGGATATTCACAAAGGGATAAGACAAAATAATGTAACCCTTTTTATAGGTCCGCATCATCCTACGTTCAAGATATGCTGATCGAGCCCTCGAATCATGGAGAACAATCCAGAGGAAGAATCAAGTAAATAGAATTGTAACCCGCAATATTTATCCATAAAATCCTTTTTTTTCTTTATAGTCGTTTGTGATTGCAGTTTTATTTTTCTGCCCAAATTTATTACAAACAACCCCCCCTCCCCAATAGCAAAAACAAAAAAGAAGAAAAAATTACTGGAAATAGCAAGAAGTATGAAAATTATGTCATAAGATCAAGAACAAGTCCTATAATTTCTTACCAAATCTTGATTTGTTGCTCGTAAAACTCCACTACCAGCACTAGCAAAGTTCATGCCATTTGATGGATACTCTTTTCTACTTCCATTTACTAACTCAAGCTGTGCTTCCAGGAATGGCTTTTGAAGAGGTATTCCAATAAATTCAGCTACATATTTTCCACCAATTAAACCAAATATAACAATAAAAAATCATGGAGAAAATTATATTCTAGTGACAGATACGAGGACTAAAACATCTAAGTTTTGTTGTGAATTTTGACATTGATTTTTCAACTCTTTTGACATATTTGGAAACAACTTAAAGTACTACGTACCACCACATTTTTCTATAACTAGTATTCCCTCTGTTCCAATTTATGCGTCATACTTTCCTTTAAGCGTGTCTCAAGAAAATGTCATACTTCCTTTTTAGAAACTATTTAACTTTAAACTTCCCACTTTACCCTTAATGAGATGATTTACGGCTACACAAATTTCTATGACTTATTTTAAATCACAAATTTTAAAATTGTTTATTTTTCTTCGTGCCTAGTCAAACAAAGCTACAGAAATTGGGACGGAGAGAATAGTAATTGATATCGAGAAATGTTAGAAAGCATAGTAGTTGAGAAAAGATAATTTAACTCGCCAAATATTAACGATATATAACACATAAAATAGGAGAGATGAAGTTTTTGTTTTTTTAATTTGTCACAAATCGAGTGACAATAAGAAGGTGACGAGTTCAAGCTGTGAAAGCAGCCTTTTGCATAAATATGATGTAAGACTGTTGCATACAATAGATCAATATGATTTCGTTCTTTTGCAAACCCATGTATAGAAAGAATTTAGTACACCGAGCTGCTTTCTTTTCTTTTTTCAAGCAAGGCTTTTAAGAAGAGTAAGAACTCACAAATGAAGTCGGCAACAGTGCGGCCATTGGTGAATCTACCGGTCGGATGGTGAAAGAAATTGGAACCATAAGGTGGAAAATCAGCTTGTGCTGAGCAGTTCTTGTTGTAGTGATTGTTACCAGCATCAAATATGGAGTCTCCAAATATGAAAATTGCAGGAACATTGAATCCCACAGCCAAACAAGTACTACTACTCAGTAAGAAAAATTGTATAATAATAACTCTCTCCATAGCCAAAAGTGCTAGCTTTTGGAACAACAGCAGAGAATAATCAGAGATATAGAATAAATGGTGTGAGTTTATAGAAAAAGAAGTAAGAAAAGTCAGCTGAAAAACTGAAACGGAACACACGAGTTTATTGCATGCATGACCAAAGCAAAACCCCTTCACTAATTATAGAGCTACCTGTTTGCTGCTAACCAACTTTTTTTGTCTACTAGCTACTCCACCATTTACTTAATTTATTTCTTTCTGTTCCGAATAACCTGTTATGGAATTATAAATAATTAGCATAAGTTCTTTCTGTTCCGATAGTGTTTATAATACTGAAATAGATCTCGTTAGAGGATTCTTGAGCTAACTATAAGGCAAAGCAGAATTTCTCAAGTTATACAACAAAATCCAACAGGTTTATTGCTCCCAAGGGTGCATCTTATGGTGTTCAAGTCCAACCTGTACAAGATAAATGATCATCCCTATATGTTTCCCGATCGGAATTTATTGAAGTTATGGTTTTCCATTTTTTGGAGAACATCCCGAGATACTTCTGCAAAATAAAGCATGGAATTGCAATGGACATCCACTAATCATTAACAGCTTGTTTGGATGGTTGTTATGTATATTTTATAATGTATCGCATAGTATTGTATAATATTGCATTATATCATTTTGACGTATACAATATTTGGATAAATTGTATTGTTTGTCATCGTTTCATGATGTCATGCACCAACAATAAGAAGAATAAACTTGTAATATTATAAAGAAAAAGTAAAATACGAGATAGAATTATTATATAAAAAAGTAAGGTAAAAGATAAAATCGGATTATTTAATAATAAGGACAAGATGAGAGGGAAAAAAATAAGGTAACGACATGACCACACCAAATCGGTTCCATAAAGTAGCACTTTTCGTTGTTACATAACGATAGATTTAACGATATGATATAATAAAATATAAGTAACAATCAAAAAAAAATATTATATTTAAAGTAACAATACGATACAATATAACATGTAACAGCCACCAAACAAGTTGTAACTTAGAAGGTCCACCAAGTGCTTGCACTAAAGCACCACATTTATATGAATTTACTAGTGATATATGCAAGGCCAACAAATAGATTCACAAAATATCAGATGACATTTTTTTATTATTCACAAAATATATCAGATCTCATAGTTTACTTGAGACCGGAGAGATTTCAATTATTTTTCCAGTATTTTGATCATCGTACAGAATCAATATGATTTTACAAGGAGATACCCTGTACACGCGGGTAATGCGAGCCATGCTTCATTCAAAGTTGCTTACAACGTATAATAAATGCCAAGAACTGGTATTAACAAAGAAATCTAGCCAGGTCCGATCTACCACTTGCAAATGACAAAAACTTGCCAGACAAAAATGAACATGAGATTGCACGCGAGAAAAATATTGGAAAACTATTATTGCCTGTAATAGCCACTCTGATGGGGAGAAGGATGAGGATATGGTGAAGGGGCAGTGTAAGGAGGCCGAGGCATAGCTCCGGGTTGCTGCGGAGGTGCATTATAGTATGGACCCCGCCACCCAGGATATGCAGGTTGGCCGTACTCGTGGCTTTGTTGAGGCTGTTGTTGATGCTGAGGATGCGGATATGGTTGACCTTGACCCGGAAAATTGTAAGGCGGTGCAGGCGGTTGTGAAGAACCATAAGGAGTTTGACTATATCCAGGCATTGTTGGTTGTTGGGGAGGCTGGTATGTAGGATTTTTGGGTCGAGGGTGATTGGGTATATTTCCAGTATCGGTAGGCAGTTGGGGATTGGCTCTTGGAGCCTGTTGAGGCTGCCCAACTGAAGGATAGACATAACCACTTGAACTTTTACTATCCTGGAAACTGAGACCTGAGATTTGCCTCTGTACCTCTTCTATCATTTCTCGGCACTGTATGCTTCTTGTCATCACAAAATCACTACACTGCTGTTTCACATTAGTGATCGCCTCCTGTTCAACAAAAACAAATTTCTATGAATTTCTTTCCTGGGAGTGTGTAAATAGAACTAAGAAGTTTGACATATTCAGGAGAGTTGGAAAATGACATATCTAGCAGTTTATCCAACTGTGCGCAGGTAATATGAATTCTGAAGTGCAGAAATGCAACTTTGAACTATAGGTCTCATCCCCCATTCCTCCTCTACCCTAACCTCACACCAAAAGGAACAAAATCATAACGACCATTGACATGTCGAGGTTATACATTGAAAGATCCTTTTCAGTATTACAGGAATAGTTAGTGCTTTGTCAACATTGACTAGAGTTACATCAGAAGATCCAAGGGGTTCTTTGACTTGCACATGATAAGGGTAGATTATGATACTGTTGAATTAGGTGAGAATCATGAATGAGACTATAATATCTCAGTGAGATTAGTAGGTTGTGATTGTAGAAAATATCACATTACATTTAATTCAAGGATTAGGTGAGAGATTATAACTTGATTTTTTCCGGATTACGCCTTGATTTCTATATGAAAATCGGAAAAATGAAGATGAGGTGAGTTGGTCAAGGACCGTACAGGGTAGCCGGGGGCAGGTAGGAATAGGGAGAAGAGTAATGATGTATTAAATGGAATTGTCACAGTCGCAACCCTCTCCAATGAGGGAGTGTTTACAATGTAACCCATAGAATTGTCACAATCCCAACCCTCTCAACGGGATAAAATAGGCCCCTAGGAGGATGATTGCATTCCCATGTATACAAGCCAATTGCATTATAATCCCATGGAACCAAATGGAAGCACGAACTCTAATCTAGCTAACCTTATCTCCGCCCCTGCTTCCTCTTCCCCCAGCAGAAATTCTTATATCGCGGATCCAAATGATCCTATATCAAATGAGGAATGTGCTCAGAGGATCCACTGAAAGCAAATGGTCAGAGTCCTTGTCGTCTTGTAAACCAGGTGAGCAAATATTCCGCCTCTCCCACCCCCTTACCAAACGACTCTAACAGAAAGAGCAGACCAAAAGAAGATGAAAATTCCAATACCTGAAGTGTTACGTAGAACTTCAATCCCTCATTGATATTTTCCTTGATTTCTCGATATTTTGAAATGGCAGCTTCAATCTGCTTATAGATTCTCTCGCGAGAAGCTGTGACATCGAGAAGAATGAGTTCAGCAAATTAACAGTGACTAGAACATATGAAATCAACAGCCCTACTTGAAGAAATATGAATAAGCCATGCAGAGAAGAAATGTCAAAGTAGATGAATTAGATAAACTAATATAGAATGTAGATGATAAATGGTCAATGTATTACAGTAAAGGTTGACCAGAACTTCACCATGTTATTTTAAAACTGACGTAGACGGGAACAAAATTGCACCATCACTTTAAAATGACATCCTGGGGATCTAACTTGCGTGAGTATATCTCCAAGACACATAAATCATAATGAGCAATAGAAGTCATTTTGAGATATAAAAAATCGAATGAAAGGATTAGCCCATCTAAACTTAGCCCACCCAAGTTATTTAGATAGGACAGAAGAAGTTTGTGTATCAAGAATATCTGCTTCAATGTTCTTCGTAAGACAATGCCAAATGATTACATAGATTAAAAACACACCTTTATAATCCTCAAGATTGAAAATAGAAGCAAACTCCTCATTTTGAGCCTGCAAAAGGAATACCACGCTGTTAGTGACCATTCAAGGAGATACAGCTTGAATAATGAAGTCCACCGAAAGTAGATTGTTCTTTCCCGATAGAGGGATTCCTTTCTCTACATTTGCACAAAGAAACCTCAACATCAAGTATTTCTGGTTCAAAGGAGAAAAATACTAAGTTAAGCATGTCTTTTATAGCATAATCTGTGCATTACAACTCTACAACAACAACATACACAGTATACTCCCACAATTGAGACACGTTCTGTGCATTACAACTCTAAAATATCCAAAACAAGAAAAGAAATACTACAAATTTAACTGCAATTAAGGAAATAAGAATTTTTCTATAATCTTCTTCCCCCCCCCCCCCCCCCCCACTTCCAAACGATCTCTCTAGCACTTTCTAGCTACAAACAAGTTCAAAGGTCAGATTAACTTGTGTAACTCAAAAAAATTGGAAGGCAAAGACAAGCCATAAGTTATATATCTCAATTAGGGATGTCGTTGTATGAAAACTGTTATATTCTTTCCAGAAAGAATGCTATTTCCTTTTATTGGTCAGCGCAAGAAATAAAGATAATCATAGTTTAACACAAAATACCAGGCAATGACACAAGGGATTTATATAAACAAAAAGGAAAATGTCCTGCATTGCTAGCTATGTTACTTGTAAATAGTATTCTGAAAATCAATCCTGAGCTGACAATAAGGAAACACAACAGGGAACTCCTGCTAAGGACTGTGCAATACATGCACCACAAAATTTATCAGACAAGTATCCCTATGTTAAAGCTTAAGAGAAGCTGCAACAGCCGAAATGAAAAAAAAGCTGCAAAACTAGAAAAGGTATATCCCTGGAGAAGACGAAAAAATTCTGAACCTGAATCTGCAGCAACAATTGTTCTTGTGCCTCAAGGTTTTGAGCAATTTCTTCACAAATATGATCATATTTTGCAATCTCCTTCCTGAAAAGATCCTCATGGGAGCCAGTGGATGTCATCAATTTCGGAAGTATATCATCCTGAGAAATATCATGCAACAGAAATAAAGATTGAATTGCATAGTTAGATCCCACAAATCCTGGATAAATGACGAAGCAGAGCAAATACCAACACACAGAGAAGTTGCAATGGAACACAAATGTCAAATAAGCACAAAGGCAATTCATATTACGCGACCTGTTCTTGAGATGATGAAGCACAAACTAATGCCAATGGAGTAGTCTTAAACCTATGTCTCCACATTTGATGAAAGGCCCGATCTATCCCTCTTCTTCATATACTCAGAAAGAATTTCCTTTTGATTTCCCAAGGAAATGGAATTTGCAAGATCACATTCTGATACATAATTAAAAGAAGCTGCATGACCAAATTAGCCTCCCTCCCCCACCCAACAATGAGATTCTCAGTCAATAAAGAGATTCCCCCTTTTTTCTTTGAACGGGTAAAGGGTTAATGAAGAGCTTCCCTTGATGTGATGTAAGCAAACTATCCATTTGAATTTTTAAAAAAAATGTATCTTATGCCTAACTCAACTCCAAAAGCTAGCTCATTAGATGAAGATTGCCAAAGACTATATAAACAACAACCCATTCCCTCAATCAATGTGGGACATCCTAACATCCCCCTACACGCCCAGGATCAGACATCTAGAGCGTGGACAATGTAACAATTGATGCCCAACAATGGGTAAACCAAGAATAAGGA